TTGTTATTTTTTTCCCTTGGAAGTACTGCCAGCACTGATGTGTTGCCAGACCCAGAACTGGGGCCAGGCTTGCAAAAGCACGCAGCTTGGCACACAGGGGTGCTCCCACGCCTGGCCCCATGTCAGAGGGGAGCCCACACCCCCATAAGGAGTCAGGGCAGCATGGAGCCTCGTAGCCATGGCGACAGCCAACACATCCCCCAGCCCTCAGCATCTCCTGACCCATGGGAACTGACTGCTCCCAGCCAGGACAAAGCAGCCAGAGGCACGGTCCACAAGCAGTGATCCTTCAGGATTCCATCTCCCATGCGTGTACTCTGGAAGTTAAAAGCAGCCCCTTCCCCTCTGGCAGCCCCAGTGGTTTCTAGAACCTTATGGATCCTTCCGTTCACCTCTTACATGAACCAGATCCATCTTCAGGGGAGTCACCAGCTGTGGGTTTCCTCCTCCAGAGCCCTTTCCATGCCATGTTGCAGCTTTCAGTGAAGCTCAAGTCTCCCATGTTCTGCATTGGTGAAACTCCCAAATGAGCAGGGCTGGAGCGTGCCTGAAGAGTTGGAAGAACATGTTTGGTGCTGTGGGCATGCTGCCTTCAAGGGCATTCAATGGCATGAGGTGAGGACTGTAGGGGACACAGCTGGGAGCCCCACATGGCTGCAGTGACACCCCCGTGGGCAGGGCACAGAGCTGGGGGGCTTCAGGAAGCCCCAAAGGTTCTGGCAATGTTAAGAAGATGGAAGTGACATCCTTTGGTGGGGAGTCGGTGCTCCCTATGCTGGATATTAACATCAGTTTTCACAGCCTCACCTTCCCACTGCTGTCCCTCCAAGGTATTCAGCACCTTTTGTAGCTTATTTCTTTAAAGAACCTGGAATGCTGTGTTCTGAGCAGACTTTAGGAGTTGAAATGAGCTATTTCAGCACTACCTGTGTAAGCCAAGCAGAGCTCAGAGCACTTTTCCTCTGCAGCTGTAAGCCTGCTACCGAAGAGCAATGTTTTGTTAGCTATGTGCTAATGCCCCAGTCCAGCCTCTTTTGCTTCCAAATCACTCCAGATTTCTGTAATTTGAGGATGATGTATTGTGATAGTCTGCAGAGAAGGAGCACATGAGAAACACCGCCATTGTGCTGAAACATGCCAAGCACCATCAGTCCACAGCTGTAGGGTCCCATGGGGTGGATGGAGCAGGAGGGCTTCCAGCAAGACCACCAGATAACCCTTCACCAAGAGCAGTCCTGCATGACCAATATGGCCTTCTGTAATGGCGTAACTGCGTTGGTGGTCAAGGGAAGAGCCTCTGATATCATCTATCCAGACTTCACTAAGACGTTTGACATGGTCCACCACAACATCCCACAGCCCTGGTCCTCATCCCACAGCCCTGCTGGCTCTTTGGGTTTTGGAGAACATCAATGGAAGCAGCAGCAGCAGAGGGAAGCCTGCGAGTGATGGAACAGCAGCCCAGGGCACTTAACAGCATCTTCATGTTTCCTGGGGCGCTCCCTCAAGGAAGGCAGCATTGAGCTGCTAATTATTCATGGCTTTGATGCTTTGTCTCTGATTCCCAAATAACACGTATTGAGCACTAAGATGATTTCAGCAGCTGATCTCATCTGAGCCCCCAGCGCAGGAGGAATGCAGCCAGCAAACCCCAATCTCTGCTATGAGGAGTAGAGCACCGAGCATCCCTAGAACTCCTGGACATAGGGAAAGTGGGGGTAATGCTGGCAGGATGGGAGATGCCCAGGATGCTGCCTGCAGATGCCTAGGATGCTGCCCTGTGGGATGCCCAATGCATTTCATAGGATTGTAGAGTCATTAAAGTTGGAAAAGACATCCAAGATCATCCAGTCCAACTCCAACCCACCCCCACCATGCCCACTGACCACATTCCTCAGCACCACGTCCCCATGGCTCTTCAGCACCTCCAGGGATGGTGACCCCACCACCTCCGTGGGCAGCTGTGCCACTGCATCATTGCTCTCATCTCAAGAATGGAGACCAAAGCATTCCCTAGTTAAAAACAATCACATGAGCATCTGATGTCTGAAGAAAAACTCTTTCACTGTCCCTAAGCGGTGGTGCATAGACCCCAAACTTCTCTCTCCCACCCCAGACCACCCAGTTTTCCTCTCCCAGTACTGATGCTGCTGAGCACATCTTTGTCACCTTCCTGCAGCCCTTCTCCAGCATCTCCCAGGATGGGAGAGCATCACTTTTGGGAGAACCCATCCCAGCACTGCCTTTGGAAGGACCCACGAGCAAAGCCCATGCATCACTCATGATGTGGGGTCACTGTGCCGATGGCACCTTGTTGTCCTCAGTCTGTCCAAAAGGTGATGGAGAAAATTTGTTCCTGGCTCCATTTGCAATTGATGGAATGAGAAAGATGCCCTTCCTTCAATTAATTCAGACGTCTTTTTCCTCGCCCCTCGAGGCACGATAGCAGCTCCAACATCATAAATGATTTAGGACAGGAGCCAGATAAAGAGAAAGCTGATGGATGACAATTCTCTGTTTGGGGGATGTTTTCCAGCTGGAGATTTTTGGAAACAAATAGATTTATCCCCTTCAAGAAGCAGCGCACAGCCATGCTGTGACTCATGCTGTGAGTCAGGGAGGCAGGGCAGGAGCTGCAGTGCCCCAACCCCAACCTTCAGCCCCTCTACTCTGGGCCTTAAGTGGTTCAACTCCATTTTGCCCAATTTGCCCTTAGGATTCACCTCCGAGGCTCCAGGACCCTGTGGTCCAGAAGCACACTGTGCCCTGGATTTGGGTAAATCTCCCCAAACCAAAGCAGGCTCAGCACCTGGGGGGCTCCTGGGGCAGCCAAGGAAGGAGTTCTGCCATGCAATGCCTCTGTGATGCCAGACCTGCAGACAGACAAAGCCCAACAGCGCCTACATCCTGCAGCAGCCCCAGCAGCCATTTGTATTAAGCTGTACGACTGAAAGCTGCTCATGTAAGAGGATTGCTCAGGGATATGTGCATTGAAAGATTGATTGCACAAGGCAACGCCAGGCTAATTGCACGTGTGAATTCTGCCCAAATCGCTCTCCGTATGGCTTCCAGTTGTTAGACATGGCCCAAAAGGGACAAAAAGGGACAGACCCACACTGATAGCAGGAGGGTCAGGATGAGGAGGGCAGGGGAAGGATTGGGGGAAGGGATGGAGGAGCACAGAGATGCAGGGAGGGTTGTGGAGAGGGCTGCTCCAAGGCAGCAAAGTCACTGCTCACGTACCTGCATCCCACCTCTGCTGTTCTCACTCAAGACTGCATTATTTCTAAAAAATAAGCCTTGAACACAGCAGTTTGTAACTCGAACTTTGCACAGCACTGGGGATTGCTGAGAGTTCGTGTTCTTTGCACAGCATCCCCACCATCAAAAGTAGTGCTCAAGAGCACAGGGCTCAGAAAAAATACAGATGTTCTGTTAACAACTTCAAATCTTTCAGTCCACACCTCCTGGGCTTTCAAGCGCTGCCAGCATTCCCCCCAAAGGCCAGATGTGAGCTAAATGGTGACAAACATGGCCAAGAACAGAGCCACAACTGAGCGGAGGGTGACACAGACCCTGGTGGGAACACATCACATCCCTCCCCAGCAAGAGGAAAGAAAGCATCCCTGCATCACTGGTTTGTTAAGGAACCCAAGCACGATGTTTGCCTCTGCTCAGTGCTCCTGTCTGTCCACACAGCCTCCCAGCAGCTGAGCCCTGGCTCGCAGACATGTGGGTGCTCTCCTTCTTTCCACCACGGGAAAGGCAGACGTTTGGCAATGCTGCACTTCTGATCTTACATTAACATCCCCTCTTAGAGCACCTTGTGCAGTGATGACATATGCAGGTGGCCTAGCAGAAATCACTCTTTTATTTTTCTCTCTATTTTAGAATCACTTTTTAACAGCTGAACAAATGAGGCTTTTCTACAGACAGTCACTGCCTTGGGAATGCTCCCACCAAAACCACACGAGCTCCACAAATGGCTGCCTGAAGGTGCTTATGGACCTGGACAGTGTGGTCAGAGTGATGTTGGCACCTCTGGGGCTTGGTCTGAGCCCCCACTGCTTCCCATCAGTGGAAGTGCTGGGGCTGCAGCCTGCAGGGACACTGCACGACTGAATGCACATGAGGGCAGTGATTTTCCCAGCAGCAAACCACCTCCTCCCTCAGTTTAAATACAATTTTCCAGCCAGACCACAACATCCAACAGAGCACAAGGCATGAGCCTCTGACAGCAGCCTATGGGGATGGAACAGTGGACCACGGGGCTGGATGTTACCCCTCTGTAATAAGAATTGGTTTCTAGACACAAAGGAACTCAACCAGGGTCAGTTTGCACTTCCATCGGGTTGACACCCTCCATCCAAACCAATGGCGATGCTGTGTCCTTGTTTAGGCTGTGATAGATGTAATTTTCTTCTTAATAGCTGGTATGGCGCCATGTTTTGCCATTTTTGGATATTCTTTCATTATTATTTTCCCTTCCTTTTCTGTCCTATGAGGTTGCCTTTATCTCAACCTAGAAGTTTTACCTTTTCCAAGTCCTCCCATGCTGCTGACTGCTGCAGGGAGACAGAGGGCAGCCTTCCACTGAGCCCAGGTGGCCCCCTGCAGATGATTCCACGCCAACCAGCTGGCATATACATGCTGCCAAAACCATAATGCTGGAAAGTATTTGCACAGGTATCACAAGTTGCACACAGTATTGATAGGGCTGCTGCCACTCACACCATTCCAAAGCCTCAGCTTTTGGGGGTTCAGATGGGGCTTCTCAGTGATTGGTATGAGTGCTCAAAAACAGGTAAGCGTGCTGTTGTTGGCACAGTGATTCCTCCAGCAAGGCTTCTGATCTCAGTGTGCCTGCAGCCTCACCTGCACAGACACTGCTGGAGGGGTTACATCCCACTCACACTCGTGGACGCAGAGCTCTGAGCTGCTGGGCTGGGCTCACACACATCACCCCCTTCTGCTCTGCCAGTCAACACACACACCATCCATCAGAGATAAAGAGCACTGTATATATTTCTAAGCAAGAAACTCTAAAAAACAGGAAGGCAGGGTTCAACAGAGGCTCTACCCTCCTCACTATCAAACTTCAGAAAGTCTATGTGAACAAGGTTGGAGATGGAGACCAAGGCTCAGCCTGGAGATGGGCGATGATCAGCACCCAGAGATGTCTCTCACTTTGCCTCTCCGCTGGTATCTCACGTCCAAGGGATCGAAGCCACGCTGGTTGGACCCAAAGAGCGCCCAGTGCGGAGTCCTGGCTGTGTAGTCTGTGGCTGTGAAGGTCTGTGTGCCCCCACTGTCCACGTGTGCCCTCACCAGCTCCTGGAAGCGCTCGTAGTCGATCCACGTGCACCAGTCACCATTGATCTTGAACTGGGGAAAGAGCATACAGTTAGGTCAGGGGTGCAGATTAAACTGTGTGCTCAGCTGCAGTCTTTTCCTAACCGCATTAAGGGCCGTGTGAAGCCAACCAGAAGCTCCAGAAGATAAAAGCTTTGAGAGGAAAAAGAAAAGCCATCATATTGACAAGTAACAGGAGCTCACTGCTTCTGAGACTTCACCCACGAGGTCTCACAAAGCACACAGCACAGGACACAGCCACTTGCACTACAGCTCTGGTCACTCAGCACAGCTCCTACCAGCAGGTAACTTCAGGAAGCTTTGGTTGGTGCTTTGCCTCAACCTTCCACGTGTCCTTCCATCCCTTCTGGCTCTGAGCACTGCTGGAGCCGTGGGTGTCTGTGTGCATCACAGGGAGATGGACAAGATGGCCTTTAAGGTCCCTTCCAGCTCAGTTTGCAACTCCAACCATCAGCTTCTACCCAATTCTCAGCTCCGCTTTGCAAACTCCCACAGGAGCAACAACGGAGCCACGTGCTTTTAAGGAAAGGATTTGGGGGATTTCTGAAAGGGGCAGGAGGGCTGCATTTGGGAGTGGGGAAAGATAAAGAGTTTTAAAGACACGAATCCTCTTCCCAGGCAAAGATGTTAAGAATTGCTTATTTTGACAAGTTGGAGCTACATTTGTCTCCCAGACCTGCTCTGCTAATTTAGCAACAGCCCTGACTGAATCCTCAATTAGGATTTATCCGAGCTAAGAGCTTATTATGCACTTCATCCAAAAAAAAAGAAAAAGAAAAAAAAAAAAGAGGGAAAACATACCGGCTCCCTGCTTTTTTTGAAACCTGATGGCCATGCATTTAAATGGCACTTGACTTTCTGCCCAAGAGCTAAAAGCTTTTTTGGTTGGAAAAACTGCTGATACCTGCAAAATGGCGAATCCAGGCTTGCCAATGTTCATCTGTTGCTGTGCAATTGCAGTGAGTTCTCACAGGAGGAGTCCTTGCACAGGGCAGGGATGCGGGGCCGCAGGGAAGCAGGGAGCAAAAAGCCTCCAACACCCAGGACCTGAGGCTCTCATCACAAGGCAGAGCTGCTTAGCACACAGCCAGTTCAGTTCACTGCCACGATGACAGACTCCAGGCCAGCTAAGAGAAACCTTTCTCATAAAGAACAGAAACGCAGCTCAGACCTGAGATTGGCTGAGGAGGTCATTCTGGAGAGGCTGCTTCCTCAAAAATCCCTGGGATGCTCTCATCTCAGGAGGGGAGGGGACCCTGCAGCACCCTTCACCTGCAGACAAAGCTGCAGTTGGATGCCTATGCCACGCAGAGGGGCTGAGATGAGCTTCTGCTGCACAGCCCATGGTGCCCGAGCTGCAGAATGTGGGTGCTCAGCCCCATCCCCAAAGGGCAGAGATGCTGCATCCCTCCCAGCCCCAGCAGAATATCCCTGCTGGGGGAAACACTGCCTTGCAGGGGGTGGGAGCCCGAAATGTGCTCCTGGGAGAGAACGAGATGCTTTCTCCTTTCCAAAGCAAACTGTTCTCTTGCTGTTGTGCCACAGTTGCATTTCACTGCGCTATCAGTTCCTACAACCTTCAACAAGGCCAGCAGAGAACGGGGTAAAGCTGAACATCTCCCACACTGAAACTTCTTCCGTGGGGCAAGCGGGGCCACATCCACCAGGAGAACACAGGGAAGCACAGCACCACATGCAGCACCAAACCCTGCCCCAAAAACAAGGGGCCAGAAAATTATCCCTATTATCACAATCCTGAGCTCCTTCGTCCAAACCTGAAGACAGATGATCATTTCAATAAACACAACAGCTCCTGCACCCTCATCCAGGGGTGTTACTGACTGCACACACCAGAAGGCACATTGCAGGTCCTCACCCTTGGAAGGAAAACTGTGCATGTGCCCTCTGGAGGACAAAACCCCTCTCTGGATGGAGCTGGATCTTTCCACCGCTCTCTGTGGCCACAGCAGCTCCCAGCATCCAAACCAACTCCCCAGGTTCTTGCTAACCCCTCCCATCCTGAACTTTGGCTGGGTCACCTATGGGAGACATTACACTGTTTGCTTTGGGTCCAGGCACAGCAGCACACCGAGGCTGCTCCCCCCGCTGACCGAGCGAAGGCCGCCTGGGTTTTGTTACAAAAGCAGATCAAATGATATTAAATATATTTATTATTTCTTTTACTGCTGCGATACCACAGCAGTAAAACACACAGCAATGGGAGCCATCCCTCACATGTGTCACGGAAACCATTTACTTCTGCGAAGGAATGAAAACCAGAGCAACGCGGGGCGGGGTGGAACAGCCTCAATGGCCCACGAGATTTACAGATGGGGTTTTAACAATTGCATGATTACTCCGCAGATAACGAAAGATTTAAGGCTCAGCACTGTTTCACAACAGCCATCTCACAGTTAGCTCAGAGTAACGCAGCGCGGCGTTTTATGGAATTCTTCGCTACCTGGTTAAGTCTTACAAGGTGATAAACACATCGGGGAAAGACAAACAGTTGGAACCCTCCCCTGGTGTTTTTTCCTTTTTAGCATCATAAAACGAGCAGTAAAGCTTCTTCAAGAGGCGCTGAGGCTGTGCTGCCTGCGAAGGGATACCCAGCATCTCCCTGTGGCTTGGAGACAGCACTGGGGCTGGTGCTTGCTGTCCCCAGAGCCCTCGTCCCTGTGTCCCCAAGGTCCCAATGTGGGCTCCTCCATCCAGGATCACAGAAGGGCTTAGGTTGGAAGGGGCTCCAACCCCCATTGTGGCCAAGGCTGCCAACAAGCAGCAGAACTGCCCAGCATCCCATGCAGCCTGACCCTCACGCCCAGCAATCCAAAACCTGATTTCCACAGGTCTTATGGTATGGGAAGAATGGGAGAAGGAGACAGTGAGGGGGGAACTCATTGTGGCCTTATGGTCAGTTGAAAGCAGACAGTCAGAGATTGGGGCCAGACAGCTGTGCCCATGCTGAGCATCACCTCCATGCTACCAAGTGCTGAGAGCCACGCAGCTGTTCTACAGCACAGAGCTGCAGTGCTATGGGTGCATTCACAATGGTGGATATGAACAGGACATTTCTTTAAATCAACTTCTGCAGAACGTCTGGAGCTGTTTACTTAGTCTGTGCAGAGTTCTCGCCACATAAACCCATCAACATTCGTGACAAAGAGCCACACTATATAGTTCCTACCAACCTACCTGAATAAACAATTTGGGGGCTAAAGATGTACGGGACACTTCACTACATTGGCCCAGATACGTGTAATTAGCAAGAAATAAACATGGAGTTGATATAAAATGACGAAATAGAGAGGAGAGGTGGAAACGGTGACACAAAACACCGATGCTGAGGGATAGAAATTGGCTGGAGCCCACAGAGCTTGTCCTAACAAGGCCAGTGCTGCATTCCCCTTGGAGGAAAACAGGCTGAATGGCAGCTCCTCTGCACCATCACTCTGCTCATTCCCTATGAGACAGATGTGTCCCCAGGTCAGGATGGCCCAGCACGGGGAGCATCAGTGGGCAGCAGGCTGGTCCTGCCATGGCTTTTTGGCTGCTTGCAGCTGCATGGGCAAAAGCACAGACCTTGTGATGCAACAGATGGATCCTTCCCTGGGCACAGGCTCTGTGTTTAACAGCTCAACACAGCAGTTTTATACGCAGCTTAAAGACTGCACAAAGACCCATCAGTGGCGAGCAGGGAAAACAGGGCACGGCTGCAGTGATACAGGAGGATGCTCAGATCCCTTAACAGCTTTTCTACTTCCAATTCCCAGCATTAAAAAAAAAAAAAAAAACAACTGGTCACAGCCAATACTTCAAACAATGCTCGTTTTGCTTTGCACACAGCGTGAAACATTAAAGAGCCTTTTGCAAGAGCAGATCTCAGCAGCAGAGCTGCAAGCCTGGCAGCACGGATTCTTCCTTCCTTACTCTACGCTTCTATGTCCCATCCCAACAACTACAACCAACCTGGTGCTGGCTCTGCTCCCCAGTGTTTGGAAGGGATGAGGCCTTCTGCCCTACTGCAGCTTCCCCAGCAAACTGCTGCTCCATCCACAAGGGCTGCTGAGTTCCCTGCTTCTTGTTGTGAAGGGAAGCAGCGCGTTCAGAGCCTGCAGCACAACACTCCCTGTGCTGTCTGGGCCTTGAAAAGCACACAGGGATTGAAAAAGCCAACACTACTCCCCTCCATTTATATCCCTGGAGAAGAAAAAAAATCTTTGGAAAGGGAGATAGTATCTCCAGTCTGTATTCTAGCATCCTCCCTCACTGAGCCCCAATAGATCCTTTTCCTGGTAATGAAAAGGCATTCTTCTGGGGAGATGGAATGGGGCTTTGTGCTTCTGCGCTTAAGAAAGTGGGGTTTCTTTTTGTTCCTTTGGCTTTCAGTTCCTCCCTTCCATACTTATGCTCTTGAAAGTCAAACTTGGGCTGTGTGTTTCCCAGCACCCACACAGCTCTCTGCCAGCGGTGTGGGCTGCATCCCCACTGCAAACCTCATCGATCTGCAGCGACATCAGGCAGGGAAAAAGGAAATAATTCTGGCCAGGAGTGGGCACACTAAGCCAACACCAATCACTGTTTTCCTCGTGCATTCTCATTGCCACCAGAGAGCAGGGCCACTCACCAAGCCCAGCTCCACTGCAGCACATCAGTCCTGAAGAGACAGCACAGAGAACCTGTCTGCAAACCAGATGTGGTGGGGCCTGTGCACATCTGGATTTTCCATAACGCACTGAGGCCGTGGGCTGTCTAGACGGTGCAGCTGGGCTCTCACATGCAGGAGGAATTTAAATATCACAGGCACAAAGGCAGAGAGCAAGGCTGGGATGGGACGGCCCTACTGCTGCCTCAGGGCTGGGTCTGTGAGGCCTGACCTTTAGAGTTTCTTTGCTGAGGGGCACAGCCCCACTTTCAGCCCCACGTCACTTCTCAGGACTGCTTTGCAATGTTTGAGAGCTCTGGGGTCCCAAAAGAGGAGAGGTGTGGGGTGATGCTCCATGGGTTGTGCTGCTCAGGGAGGAGGTCCTGCTGCCCACGTGCAACGCAGCTGCTTTCAGCTCAGGGCTTCCTACTGCTGCTCTGTGCCTGGAAAGGGGGACAGCCAGAAAATTATCCCTATTATCACAATCCTGAGCTCCTTCATGCAAACCTGAAGATCATTTCAATAAACACAACGGCTCCTGCACCCTCATACAGGGGTGTTACTGACTGCACACACCAGCACCGTGCGACTGCTATGAGTACTTTTGCCACTACAAAGCTCTCTGAAGTCAAACAAATAATTCACTAGTACATGCAGTTTCTCGTCTAATTAAGGCTCACAATTATTTAGGGCTCCCTTTACTCAACAGCAAAAGTGACAGAACTGGAGTCATTCCAGGAAAGAAAATAAAGGAGAAATACTGTATTAATCCTAAACAGGGCCATACAGCTTGCAAAAAACTAAAAATCTTCCTCTTTTTCATTACCAACTGTAACCTCAAGAGCCGGGTGGGAGAAATTAGGCTAATTAAGTTACAAAACAGGAGGTTGCAACTGACCCATCTGCAGCACACAGCCCCAGTGTAGGAGATGGAGAACCTTGCGGTGCTGCAGCCACGCTGGAATGCAGGATTGTGGCCCCAGACACTCGTGGGACCCCTCCTCTGCTTCTATTTATTACATCTAATCTTGTGTGAGCTGTTCTAAAGAACAGGCTCCTTAATGCAGGGTGTTTTTTTTTTTTAATTTTTAATCTGTGCCTGCTGCTGAGCTGAACAACTCATCTGCCAATTTACACCGGCGCTGCATCCAGACGGTTTTAATTCCTGCGGATGAAAAATGGATTACTTTAGCAGAGCTGTGATCTCCTTTTAATAACTAACAGATCAAGCACAGCACAACCATCTTCCTGTTTGGAAAGGGTGGAACAAAACTCCAAACCTGCGAGACGTCACAGCCAGGCTGTGCTGTGGGTGCTGAGACCTGCAACGGGCAGAGACCCTGTCCTGTGTGCACTACAAGCAGCAGGACGGGGTATGGATAACACCAATGTAACCCTTGGGATAACAAGCACATTTAGCAGGTTGGATGGGGCCCTGAGCAGCCTGGTATAGTAGCAGATCTGGAGGTTAGTGGTCCTGCGTGTGGCAGGGGGGTTGGAACTTGTTGATCCTCAGGGTCTCTTCTGACCCAAGCCATTCTATGACTCTGGATCTGGGCTGCAGGGTCACAGGGACACCTCACACTCTCCAAATGATTCTCAAGGCAAAGGAAGGGAATAAGAAGCGATGGACTATTTTTCTCCAATGTAACCCTTGTTAGGCAATCTGCAGCTGGTAGTTAAGTGCTTCCTTTTCCTCCCTAAATATAGACTAAATGCTCGGCATGGAACAACATCAGTGCCTTTCATCCAGCCTCGAGCATCCCGCAAGTGCAGCAGGGATGTCAAGTCGCTGAGTCCCACCAGAGCCTAAGGGCAGTGCTGGAAAACAGGCAGGAAAAGGCTGAACTGGTGTCTGCTGGGGAGATCTCCTGGCTGATGGGGAGTGATGAGCACCACTGAGCAATCCACCATCTCCTCCCATTCATTTCCACCCAAAGCACACGAGTAGGTGCCAAGCAACAACTCTTCCAAAGTCAAAGAGATGGGGCTGCAATCAAGCTGTGTTACCCCCCTGATGTGTCCACACACAGCAGCACTTCAATACCAGAGTTCTGAATTATTACTATTACTATTGCTTGAAAACCTCCAATCTCAGACAGAGCAGAACCCAGCGAAATAAATCACATATTTAACTGATTTTTATTACCTTTTTCCTGCAACTCCTTAACTCTTTAAAGACACCTTTGATTTTGCAATCACTCACCGCAGTTTGATCCTTCCCAGAGCACACGTTTTCTGCAAATAATATACACTGACAAATTTTATTCTCCACTGGAGCCTGAAATTCTGAATTAAATGTAATAGAAATAAATTTATTTTTTATTAGTTGTTTTAGTACCGAGTATAGATTGTTTCCAAAAGACGCCCCCTCCTAATGGCTTTGGAAAGCAAAGCAGCTGTTGAATTCCTCCTGGGCTGGTATCAATCTGTGCTTGTTACTAACGGTGTTACTTGAATTATGCATCAATAACTGAGGTGACAATGTTTCCTTTCTTTCCCCGGGCCTTGCACCTCAGAGAAGAATTATTTGCATTTGCACAGGCACAGTTGCCAGTGGCAACAACCAAGAGACTGTAAAAAAAGCAACCCGAAGGTGACTTGAAACAAAGGAAGTGCCAGGTGTCAGCGCTTTACTCTGCTCCTTTACAACCGTTCCCATAAAACAGCAAACCAAGGAAAGTTTTGCAACTGGACAGAAGTTTTCAACAGTGGGATTCTACTTGTTTCAACGCGCCGACTCAACATATTTCAGACCTTCTGCAAGCAGGGATTTTAACCAGTTCCTCCCTGTGCGTGCTGGGGGTCGGTCAGAAGTGTCTGGTGTGTAAACTAAAACCACAGCCCCAGTCAAGCAAAGGGAGACAGAGAGCACATGACTTCAGCAAACAGGAGCAAAGCACGTGCAAAGCAAAACCACTGCAATTAGCACAGTGCCTGCTCCTCCCAGACTGCGTGCTACTCATTTCTTATCTTTCTATTAAGCTCAGAAAGCCAGGTTGCACTCGGGATTTTTCAGATCCTGCATCCTTTAAAATTGCTTACTTTCTTGGCATTCCACTTGCATTTCACTTGTGCTGGCGTTCAGGAACGAGCCCACATTTAAAGCACATTTTACACACCCGGGCTGTGAGACGTGTGTGGCCTGCATGAGGGCTGCCACCAGACAGCAGCTCCACAACCTCTTCCCCACCATCGGGGTGGATAAACAGCTTTGCAGTAAAGCAGCTCCAATTCAACAGAGGCAAGCAGACAGTGTTAACGTCCATCTATCAATCTGTTTTTTTTTTTTAATTACCTCTCCAGAAGAAGAAAAATAAGTTATTCTGGCTCTGATTGAAGAGTAAGGAGATGTAGAGCTCTGGTAAGTGCTGCAAAGATCAAGACGGGGGAAAAAACAGCCCTAACCTCATCTGAAGCATCACTTCCCTACTGAGCTGTACATACCACAGCAAAATGTGGTGGAAAAAAATCAGGAAATGAGACAAAATCAGCTGACCCAATGTGGTTTCACAGAATCACAGGGCTTGCTCTTGGCTTTTCTCAAAACACAAGGCAGAGAGTGCGATGAAGCACAAGTGATACAGCAACAAGTTCTTCCTGGACCCGTTACACGTTTGTTCCTTGCACTGCTATGGCCATGCTGTGACCTACCACCAGCCCCTAAAGCCTTGCAGTGGTTTCATGAGCCCTCTGCAATACCCACCGTGCATTTCCATGCCCCTAGAAAGATTCACCTGAATGCTGGAGAGGAAAAGCAGTCTGAAGAAGGCAAACGCACATCACACCAAGGTCACACACCCGGCACGGAGGACTCTCTCACCTTTTTGTGAGCCATCAGGAGGCAGTTGGAGTGCTCGTGCTCACAGGCGATGCCGTAGTCTGGGAGGAGCTGGGCCAGCTCCTGGACAAAGTGCACGACCTCCTCGTGCCAGGGGACGTTGGCCATGGTGAGGCTGCTGGCCGAGCTGTCGCCGCAGTACGTCACCCCCTGGGGAGAAACAAGGGGACAGTCAGCGGCGGCTCAGCGCTTCAAGGTCAGGTCTGTTTTGCCCTCCCTCGTGGAAAAGAACGTAGATTCAGGGATGGCCTCAAACCTGGCTGTCCCTTGGTGTGCTGGGAGCAGCGTGCTCAGCCTTCCCCAGCAGTGGTGCCCATGAGACAAGACCCAAGGAAGCGCAACCTGGTCTGTGTGCTTCTGCAGCTGATACAGGGCACAAAGCGCTCAACGTTCCTTACTTGTTTGGACCTGGAGATCACAAGGTTCTTCCCAGCTACTCACCTTTTTGTAGACAGAATAGGATCCTCCCACCTTTCTGTAGGAAGGCATGAGAAAAATCATTGTTCCTCCACGTGCCCAAGGGCAGAGCTCTATGGGGCAGCAAAAACAAAGCTGGCAGAGATGTGGCTTAGTGGGAGAAAGGAGCAGCTTGAGCCAGGAGCATGAAGATGCCCTTCTTTACAAAGCAAGCAAGGAAAAGACATCTGCAAGCAGAAGTTGTAAGCCTGAGCAGACAAAGTTGCTGCTAACTTTGGGCTCTTCACTTTGAGATCTGCTGTTATTTCAATTCGGAGATCTGACCACTTGAACGTCCTCAACCACTGATTTAAATCTTAGTGCCCTCAATTTCACTTCTGCTTTACTCCATCTCTAATTGCATTAGTGAAATTCTCCTGCATTAGCTCAGCAGTGCACAGCTTGCTGAAGTGTGGTTTCTCTTATTTCTGCCATTCCTGATACAATGAGGCTGAGGGGCACAGCACAGGTCACAAGCTCATTAGGAAGCCTAGCTCTGCTTCCAGACAGAAGCCCAGGTCCCCTGAACTCACTAACTCCACTCCCTGCCTCTGCTGTTTTATTTCAAGCACAAAATCCCATCAAGCACGGGTCTTTACAACAGAGCACACACAATTTTATGGATGACTCTGTTCAGCGTGCTCACGTTTTCCCTCTGCAGAACACCTCCACCTCCCTGCGTGGCATCTGTGCCCATGTCACGTTTACGGCACCTGCTCCCAGGACCTCATTCAGCACCATTAAAGTCAAACATGCCACATCCAGCAATAAACACAGACAGATCCTTTGCAAACACAACTGGAGCAAGGTGAGCCACGCTGCAGGGCAGATACTTAAAGAGAGTTACAAAGAAACAGATTCACGCTGATTAGGAACTGTACAAGTTTTAGAAGCAATTACTTTCTCCCTTACATTCACAATGCCCTCCTCTATCAATCTACCCAAGCAGGGGATATCAAAGCTGTGCCATAACTCAGGGCTGAGGCAGGAGCAGGCTGGATGTGCACAACAGCAGACGAGTCAGGGGAGCACTGCATAGGGAAGCACATTCATTTTTTGAGCCTGGCTCTAAAAGTGTGAAAAAGACTTTAAGTGCTCTCTTATGTGAGCAGCAACTGATGGGATATGTACCTGCAAGGTTCAGCTCCATACAGCAGCCCTGTCCCGCGCTCGTTGTGCAGACGATGATTGGAGCAGCATGAAAAACAGCTGACTTACAGAGTGGGAAGATTCTGAGGAAGCTACAACACGACTCATTCTTTTAATAAACTTCAAAAGATATCATTTACAAGGAAAGAAAGCGCAGTGGCAAATGGAATAACGGAGTGCTCGGGTGGCTGATTAATGCCTGCGCACAAATCAATGAAAATCAGCTTAGCAGCGCGCCGAATGAAAGCATGTCAGCTTTCAACTTCCCCAACTTCTTAAAACTTGAGTTAATTAAGAGCACTGATACCACTTAAAGGATGCAAACAGTTTGATTAGGGCGGTTATATTTGTCAGTAATACACGGAGACAGTTCTTAAGACCTCAAGTATTAAAAAGGGAACCATTCTCTTGTACAGCCCCGCGCTTATGCCAAATTCCCTGCGGTAGAAACATCAGCGATGCTGCCTCTTCATTATTCCTTAATGCTGCTCTTTAGCATCTTTGCAATGTTTTGGACAAACGCCTGCAAATGCAGAGGCCCTTGGAAAGCATTCAAACGTTCCTGGTTACGTTGGTGGGAATGCACAGCACCATGCACTGCTCCTGTAACAGAACAAGAGTGCACGCCGCCGCCAAGCAGCCTTCCCAACTGAACTGCTGACTGAGGGAATGCAGTATTATTATTATTATTACTTTTTTTTTTTTTTTTTTTTACTACTCCAAGCACACAAATTATACATGTGCTCAATTGAGGCTTCCGTGAATTAACAGCAGCAGAGTGTTGGCTGAGTGCCCCTGGACTGCAGAGCTCCAGGAGCAGGGCAGCCCTGCCCCGAGACGAACATAAAAGGCCTCAAATGAGATGTTGATAGATCCTACACCCTGCAATAAAAATGCTTACGATTCGAGCATCAGCACTGTCCAAATTACATACACAAGCTCTCATGCATGTCTGCTCCTTGCTGGAACGGATTTGGCCTCGTTGGCTGCTCTTTGTTTTTAATAGTCACTTTCAAGCTGATGTAACAAAGGACGCTTGTTTGTTTGTGCCAGTTAGATCTGAAGAGCAGGGATGGCCATGGTTGGTTCTGCCATGTTACCCCAACATTTAGCACCAGCCCTCCAGACACACTGCACGTCCACAGATCTGCACTGACTTCCATCAGGCCGTGCAGAAGCTGAGCTCTGAAATGCTGGATGAAAACTCTCCTCACCAGCCCTCACCACGCATTCTGCTTCCTATTTACTTTGGCTGCTAACCTTTATTTAAGCATGAGAGCCACCTACTGAAGCCTGGATTTGCACCACGCTTGTCTTCACACCTGGGCTCCAGAATTTCTTCCTCAATTTCAGAAAAGCCTTTCTAATAAAATGCAGGCTGGCCTGAAGATTGGCTTTTCAATGGAACAACGTGGCAGCTTCACTTCCACACTTGAGATTTAATCATTCACCTGTGTTAGCAATGAAGCTTGTTATCAGGCCTTGCTAGGTGCTCCAGGCACGAAAAGCACACTGCTGCCAAGCCAAACTCCTCACACACGTCTGTTAGCAACTTCTAGCTGAACCAGCAGAAACAGCAAGCTGGCTGCCTGCCTCTCTCACCCAGCTGTTAATAATTAAAGCACCAGAGGCTGCTCAGCACCTATCCAAAAGCAGCCCTGTGCCTCCTGCCCCAAACGCGGTGCAAGGATACTTGCAGACCTATAGCTTGCAGCGTGGGGAGAATGCCATGCATGTCGTGCTGGGTTGTTTTTTTTCCCAAGATGTAATACATAGTTTGGACTTGTTTTATAGCAAGCATGAGGGCAGGTGATTTTAACTTTAACATCTAAACAGTCTAGAATGTCACCAAAGCTCTGAGCAGCTCCTTGACAGGTGGGGCAATCGCCTACTGGCGCATGTAATTAAAAACTCATTAAAGCAGAGCTCACTTTCCTCGTTATTTTAAGCACTTAAGTCATCTTTACTGTGTAAGATGACAAGAGTGAGCAGGCTGGGAGAGAGCTGTCCCTCTGCTCCTTCCTCTCAGGCATTTACTGGGTCATTTGAATTTCACAGCAAAGCCTCAGATGCCAAGAGCTGGAGCTGCAGCCCACAGCCTCAACCCCAGCCCTGCAGGACGTGAGCACAGCCACAGGTGCTTTCAGGCAGCTGAACGCTGAGGGCAGGAAGGCTGAAGAAGTTCTGTGTGGTGCCACAAATCCCTTCTGCCCTGCCCGAGCACCACAGTACAAGCAGCCCTTGAAGAGAGGACAAACCAGGCAGGCTCTTGCATTTCCCTTCTGAATACTTCTTCTGTTTTGGTTTAAGAAAGCAGGTGGTAACATCCTGTGTGTTAACCAAAGCCTCCAGCTTTTAGGACAAAATGAGTGTTCTGTGATGCTTGCTATTGTGAAAAGGTGAGTTGCACTCTCTGGCTCCTAAAAACAGCCATAAACCTTGCTTAACTGCAATAGCAATGGCATGGCATTAAAACAGACTAAAACACTAAATAAAATCGATGTGTATTTAATAACCACAACAGATTCTTCCTTTCCTTGGGTTCTGCACACCAGCAATCACTGCTAACTTCTATTGGCTTAAGTAAGAGAATAGGGTCCTGCAGAGTTCCGCTGCTGTAAGATACTCATGTAAATGAGAACAAGTATTAAGCCCTGCAAGAATCTAAATCTCTACCCACTCCACCTCATGAGCCTCTCTGGAGCAACAGGAGATTAGCTACATTCATTTTAAATGAATGTCATTTATCTCAAGTTTTTAACCAGGAAATCCCACAGAGATGAGCCTCGTCTTCTGGCAGATGCTTCACAGGATTTGTTGTTTATTTGCTTCAAGCAGGACCTGGGCTTTGCCTTTTTCACCTATCTCACTGGGGTGGTGGTGAAGAAACAGAACAGGTCCTAACCACACACCATTCAGATTCATTAACACTTGGCTCCTGCATGATAGCATCCCATACACAAGCCTGGAAGTGGCATCACTATCAGCTCTGTTCAAACACAACTCAGCATCAAGTGAATTCCCCGGTCCAGAAAGCCACCAAAAACATTCCTGACATTTTCAAGAGATGATTTTCCACCAAAAGTTGGGAGAGGGAAGGCAGACTCCCTCCCCACCACCCCCAGCCTAAGCACAGAGGCTAGCAGAGACAAGGGAAATGTGTGCAGCATCCTTTGGAAAGGCTTTACCCTGAGTTCTGTGTGTGGCTGAGCTGTTGGGATTTCCAAGTCAGGAGAGTTTCATCGTGCCACCTGCAGAGGGCTTCCATGGCCATGGCACAACACCTGGCCAGGTGAGGAGGAAGAAACTGAGGCACGAGGGTCACACAGGAGGACAAAGCATGAGCTGGCCAAGGTCAGCATCCTGCCAGACCCAGGGCTGGGAGAGGCTGGTCCAGCAGCATTGACAGAGCCTCCATTTAGATCCAAGCAGGGGAACACCTCCGACCACCTCGAGGGGCTTCTTCCTCACCTACTTCCTACAGTCCTGGTGTGGTTCTGCTAGGAAAGGCTTGCAGAGAATGCTGATCTCTCCACTGCTGTCAGGCAGAGGGAACTGCAGCCCTGCAGGCAGATGTTTGCCCTGGAGAGCGTTTTGGGGAGCATGCACTCCAACACTGATTAACTTACACCTGTTTCATTTGACTAATTAAAGTCTCTACACACCACAGAGAATGGAAGCAACACATACAGCCTCCCCTCCTCTCTGCCCTCCTTGGTGCAGTGAGACAGGGAACAGACATGGGCTGGGAGGGTCCCACAGCAGCAGTTCTGCTGATAGGTTTTATTTAAGGAACATAAACCAGTCTGATAGGCATCATAAAGCTGCTTTTTTTGTCCCAAAGTGCACTCAACATCTTACTCTGTATTAAGCCATCAACTTCAGCAGCACGCTCAAGAAGAACGCTCCATCCCGGTAAGATCAAAAAGCTTTGGGTTTTGTTTCATAAGGAAGTTGCTGCCAACTCCAGATACTTCTTGAAAGCAGCAGTAAATAAAGGTTTCAAAAAAAGGGGAAGAGAAAAAGGAAAGAGAAAAAAGGACGGAAGCAATGGAGATGAACACAGGCAGAGCAAGGTAGATGTGCAGGTCTGCAGGGGAGCTGCTGGAAGGAAACACTGGTAATGATTCTTTGCACAACGCACTGTGATTTGTCTTTTCTATGTTCCCTATATACTACATTGATTAATCCCAAGATAAAACACCTCCTGCCCTCCTGTATCTCATGTGCTGCTGTTAGCAGCTCCTCCAGGCCCCAGGGCAGTATTTCTTCCTGTTTCACACTGCCTGATCAATTCCACGTCGTCCAGGCAGACATTATCACCTTACCCCCCAGCAGAATTTGAGACCAGGATGGGAAGAATAATACCACTAACTATCAGCTTGTCCCCGAGTATTTTGCTTATAATGCTGGTTGATATAAAAGAAGCAAGTCTAAAACTATTTATCTCTCTCTGCTTTTGTGAGGAATACAAAAAAGACCTGGGGTTATGGTTCTGTTGGGCAGAAATTGATGCCTGCTGCTATGAGGCTGGTAGTGCAGAACACCAAGGACTACAGCAAATACACACATAACGTATTGGAAACCTGTCTGCCTCGTGTTAAAAGCAAGAGATAAGCTCCCTGCACCTCAGAGAAGAGCCGTATTTGATCATGTAACGCTGACTCTGTGTGTGGGAAAACAGGGAGGAGAAAGGGAAAATACTGATGGCAAAAGCAGCTCCGTGCAGCTCACCTTGACCTCGATGAAGTCTGGCTTTCCAAGAGACACCAGGTCAGCGTAGGCTTTGAGCTCATCCACATTCCAAGCTTTCACCAATGTCAGCCTATAGACTGTGCGCTGTTGCTGGAAAATGAAAAAATGGAAAAGGAAATTACATCAGCAACATTGACACAGGGATGATGATCCCATCTCCCACACTGCTTCTAAGAGGAAAAAAGAACCCATTTGTTTATTCCAAGAAGGCAGAGGATAAAACAGAGCAGACCCAGACCCGGAGCCACCTGACTTGTTGTCTGAAGGAGGCAGCTGTGAGCCAGGCACCTTCTGTTCTGCAGAGCCTCACCTTCTCTCTATAAAACCCAGGCACTTCATTTCCACGGGAGCTTTTGCTTAATGGGAAAATAACCAGGAGGTTTCTCTTTGATTTGCTTCTGCAGGCATAAAATCTTCCCATGAGCTGCTCTGCAGCTGTTTTCTCTCCTCCAGCTGGATCGCCTGGCTTGGTCACTGCTGAGAACACTGAGAGCATTGCCTGATAACTCTCCCAGCACATCAGGTACAACACGGCAGAGAAAAGACTCTCCTGTGGTTGGTCATGCAGAATTTTATCAGAAGCACAAAGCGACCACTGAAAATCCCAACCAGGAAGCACTGGCAATGCCCTGTGCTGTCAAAAAAAGTGCAGAGCACAGCACCAGGAACAAACACAGCACGAAGAGTGCTGGCAGCTATGGGAGCAGCACCACCCCTGTGCAGAGCCAGCTGGGCACCACCACCACTGCTTACCACACCAACGCGTCCTCAGACTGCTAGCAGGTCTATCCCCATGCACAGCTCCAGACAGCACCCTGAGAACTTTTCCTTGGAGTTATTCCTTGAATCTAAGAGATTCCTTCAAATTAAGGGATCGAATTAAGACACTCAGGTGCCAGGGTGAAGTTCCTCACAGAGCGGTGAGGTGCTGGAACAGGCTGCCCAGAGAGGCTGTGGATGCTCCATCCCTGGAGATGTTCAAGACCTGGTTGGATGGGGGCCCTGGACAACCCGATCTAGTGTGAGACCTGGAGGTTGGTGGCCCTACCTTTGGCAGGGGGTTGGAATTTGATGATCTTTGGGGCTCCTTCCAACCCAAGCCCTTCTATGATTCCATGCATCCATTCCTTGAATTAAGAGATTCTCCCTTACCTATTGCCTGTAAGGCGCCTGTGACACAAGGTTGCCCCAAGCCAACAACCAGCTGGGGTAAGCATGCACACTATTCAGCTTATCCCATTATTTTTTTCCAACAGAGAATAATGAGACCATAAGGACACCCGCTATCAAACAGCTTCTCATCACAAAACATCAAATCTTTACTTGCTTGCAGCATCCCACATGCCAGGAGCAAATCCCAGGCACTGAGCTCAAGGCTCTGTTAAAAACACACCCCAACACCCCTCCCCAAATCAAGTGCACATTTCCCACCGCCTGCCTCAAATCCAGCCCTGTTCTACTTCTCATCATGCCCCTGGTCTGTGAGCAACCTGAGAACAGCAAGGGACAAATCCTTTGGCTGCTGGGCACAGAGAGCTCCCAATGCACCCACTGCCCACAGCCCAACGTCCCCAAGCACCAGGAGACAAACGAAGATTCCTGAAAGGATCCAATGATGTTTTGAGAAAAATAATTTTGTAATGCAGTGTCTTTAATGTAAGTCTATGGAAGAGTGGCTTTAATTAAAGAACTACTGAGAGAATGATTACTGAAGGTCAATTACGTGAATTGAAACACATAGCCTCTGCTTTACACGTAGCTTATAAAAACATACCGAGAAATGAGAGGCTGCAAAAATAAATGCATCATTTACCATCTAACAAGGAAAGAAGAAACCAGAGGGAAAATATTTAACAAGAGAACAACTGATACATGCAGGCCCATCAATCGCCTGATATGATTAGGCACCCAATTAGTCAAGAAATGTCTCCCCAAAGGTCAGCTCTCACTGGTAAACAAAGGCAGGCAGCAATAAACAGAGTCCCACCCCAGCAGCAGCCTTCAGAGCCCACCGACAGACCCAGGCAACAGGGCCAGCCCCAAGGACTGCATCCCACTGCAGTCCAACACAGCGCATCACCTTCCAGCCGGTTATTTCAGTAGTGGGTCACCCATAGGACACGAGGCCCCAAGTTGTGCCACACGATCAGGTTGGATATTGAGAAGAATTCATCCTCTGAAAAAGGGGTGCTGCAGTGGCACAGCTGCCCAGGTGATGGTCACCATCCCCAGAGGTGTTCCAAAGCCACGGAGATGTGGCACTGAGGGATGTGCTTATGGGCATGGTGGGATAGGCTGGGGTTGGACTTATCTCAGAGGACTTTTCCAACCTTAATGATTCTATCTGGGGCTAACATTAAGAGCAGATTCCCAGATGCCTGAGTTGGGTATGGAAAGAGAAACTTGACAAGAAGCAACTGGGGCAAATCCCTCCTGCTAAAGTAGAAGAGGAGTGAGTGTGACTGTGCTGCATCATGGTGGCAGAAATAACACGATGACAGAAAGCCCTACTGACAGGGAGCAAAGAAACACGGGCAATCTTTGGTGGGAGGTGGGGCAAAGTGTTACGAATCTGCTTGATCTCAGTGTAGCTGGCACTCCTTATTGGGTGAACGTGAAGACAACATACAGGTAATGGGATGCTGGAGACAGGCCCAGGCAGAAACTGGTCTCAAGGGCTGGAATTAAGCAGAAAGACTGTTATCAATATACCTATGGGTAGCTCCAGCAGATTAATGACACTGTCACCTCCCCGTCTCTGCAGGCAAGGCAATGTGCCAACAGCACCCACAGCCTATAGGTGACCCCCCTGGGGCACTGCTTGTGGCTCAGGAGTGAGCTGCTCACATCCCCTGTCAGAACAGAACAGAAGCAATGCATTTTAAAAATAAATAACCACAAGGCTTTTCTACTCAAGCATGCATGAAATCAGCTTGCAGATTAACAAACACGGTTGTTAAAAAAGAAACAAATGCACTTGGTTCTTATCAGGCAATCCTGCACTTAAGGCTGTCAGCAGGACCTTCTGGCATAAAGGCTTGTCAAAAGAACCACAGAATTAAAGAATAACACCCCAAGTTGGATGGGCACACAAAGATCATTGAATCCAACCCCTGGTCTCAACACCACCACCCAAAACACAAACCCTATGTCTGAGAGCATTGCCCAACCAGCCCTTGAGCTCCAGCAACTCAGTGCCACGGTCCTCCAGATCTTTTCCCATCTCCATAGTTCTCCTCTGGATACTCTCTAATAGTTTAATGCCCTTTCCATACTGGCAGAAACACCAGATCGGAAGGACTGAGGGGCTAATGCTGCAAAGTAATCCTACAAACACACAGTGCTGTTTTATTAATAGATTATTTGTATTTGGTTGTACAATAGGGCCCCAGGAGATCCTCCTAAGCACTAAAATCAAGAAATAAGAGCTTAAACCCAGAGAATTTAATGATCTAAAACACCGGGATATAAAAACAGACTGTGATGCTTTCTGCCCCATGTTTCCAGGAAAAATAACCTGGATTCACTTTAGAATAACACGTGTGTAAAAGAAAGCTAATACAGCAACAAACCTCGGGAACATGGAGCCCAACACATGGATGGCCAAGCACTGGAGCAGGACAGGGGGTGGCAAAGCAAAGGGGATGGAAGAGGAAACAAGATGTGCTTGTAAGGAAATAGCTGGTGCAAGAGGACCCTTCCAAGAGCTAGGGAAAGGGACGATGGGCACAAGCTGAAGGACAGCAAACTGCATCACTGCCAGGACAGTGCAACAACAGGTTCTTGCAGTCTCTTGTGGGATGAGGAGCAAGGGCAGCACCTTCCCAGTGAGCAATTCAGTGCTTCAGAGAATGCTCCTTTTGGTCAGGCACAGGCTGCACAACAAAAGGGTCTGGGGTAGCAATGGGAAGCACACAGTGTGTCTGAGCAGCCTCAGCACAGCAGGAGCCCTACTGCCCTTCCTGCAGGCTGCAGCCAAGGGGAGGGCAGACAACCAGCAATTCAGACCTTAACGAAGAACCAGGAGCACAGGGAAAGGAGCAGCCAGGTGTGCTAAAGCAAAGCCGTTCAGGGCTGGGGAAGTCAGAATTAACTTGCAGAAGGTAATACAATAAAATCTGGGAGTGCATCACAGCAGCAGCATCCTGCTGCTCTGAGCCATTACACTAATCCAGCTGTGCAAATTGGGAGCCATCCATCAGCAATTTTCAGCCTTTTCCTGGTGGAGATCGTGGCTGAAGAGCGTGCTCTACAAAAAGCTGATCTGTGAAAGGGAACACCCAAGTAACGGGCTATTAACATGATTATTTTTGCAGTTAGGAACCTAATGAAGCTGCAGAGCCCCTGCAAGGCAAGGCACTGGACTCTGCTGTGCAGGATCTCCTCCTCTGTCTCTACAAGGAGCACAGCAAGGCCACTGCAAGCAGAGCATGGGGCATTTAGTGCCCAGCCTGGAAAGAAGGAGGGGATGCCATCCAGGGAGCCCCAAGCCTGCCCAGGTCCATGTGAAGCAGAAGAGCTCAACAAAGCCAAGCACACAGTGCTGCCCTTGGGTCAGGCAATGCCAGGTATGAATACAGACTGCAAGAAACTGCAAGAACTCCTTGAGGGAGCCCTTGGAGAAGGACTTGGAGCCCCAGATAAAGGAAAGACTCAGCAGTTATACACAAATAGCCTTCACCTTCCCAGACCTCCGCTACGATTATCACAGCAGAATTCTCTAAAATACAGCAGTGCTGGACTATAGGTTGGTCCATCAAAGGCCCCTTAATAGAGATTACTGACCAATAAATATCTTCAGACAAGGAAAACGTGGAGCACACCTTTGGTATGACTGGCTGCCCCTCCCCATGCCTTTCACTTTCCTCATTCTTTGGAGGACACGCAGCAGCACACTGAGCAGGGGCACCACTACTCCTCAGTGCATTCTAAAGTGATGTAGCAATGGTCATGCTTATATAACAAGGCCCAAAAAGGACCAGCTTGGCCTTCTGTGCCATAATGAACACCTCAGACAGAGGAATGAAGAACCAACCTGGTGAAAAGCAGGATTTGCCCTGCAGGCAGCTCTTAGTGCCTTCTTCCCAAAC